TGAGGAAAACTTCGCCGGTTTCTTATACATCACTAGGTTTTATAGACGAAGACTGTCCGAGCAGTGGTTTTCGTCTTGGTACTTGGAGAGAAAATACTTTAAGCGGAGCTCTTTAAAATATTACTTCACAAAACAATAGAAACAGTACTAGAGAAGCCTTTACTATCCGTGATAACTATTGTAATTATTTTATACTGGTGATGGTGCCGTACCGTTGCTGCCGTTGCCGGCAGGGCAACGCCATTTTTTAAATAAATGGTGTGAACACCACACGACTTTCTTTACATTAGTTTTTGTTCTTTCGACTTGTTTTTACATGTCGCAATGGTAAGCATTCGTGCACTCGTTCCTGGTCGCAAGAGTAGCTTACATAACGAATTTCAAGTCTCTAGCTATGCTATTAGACGTAGGTTCTCAAGATGTTGTTTAGACGCTTCATTTAGTTTTCGGAAGCATGTGTATTGCATTTCAACTCGCTAACCATATACAATATATATATATATATATATATATATATAATATAATCGTAATATAATATAAGTCATCATGTTTAGAGCCTATAGTGTCCGCTCTCTAGTCTACCCAGATGTGGCTGAACATTTTCGGAGTGACTGCCGTCTGACCTCCGTAACCCTAAAATATTGAAGATGTTCTATGGTTAGACCACAGTCAGAATATTTGAGTAACGATTGCCAATGATATTCGTCTGACAACCAGGACCAACTGCTTAACCTTGCCTTTCAAATCACGGAGGAACTCGAGTTAATATTAATCGGTCACCCATCCAGTGATCGGCCGTTGCAAACGTTGCTTAACGCAACGATCGCACGTCAATGTGCTAAACACTGCGTCATCGAGCTCTCATGTAGGTATGTCGTGTAACACAGATAATGTTATAAATGCTGACCGTACATAGTATATGAAATATGTAGATAAATACATAGGTGGGTACTGTAACGTCCGAGCACATTACTATAGGTAGGGTTTACTCTTCGGACGGTTTATGGTCAAGTGCTGGCCGTTAATATTTTAAATTATTACTTTTTCATATTCGAATTCGCGTGTTCGTATTTTGCTGGTGAATAGTTTTTCTTTCTGATCGAGACCAGCTTAGGGTGAGCATCGTAGTATAATTATTGTAAGTGCTTAAATGTAATTCTTATCAGAAATAAATCAAGACTAAGGAGTGCTACCAGTTTTTTCATTGCGCCACCCACCTCCACCATTAGACTAAGTTGCCATAAGTCGCCACATGGTGGAGGCGCAACGTTTCGAAATACAGCGATACCTCTCGTAAGCCAAGCGGAGAAAACATATAAGCGAGAAAACGAAAAACGAAAAAACGAAATAATGGAGAAATACGACGGATTAAAAGACCAAGAGGTAATACAAAGCCGCAGCCAATGATGATTAAGAAGAATAGTGAAAGCCACAAAAAAGCAGCCGAGGCGATTGAAGTTGTAGCTGAGGACACACAGCAGCCTCACTCAAAGAATATATACAAACGTGAGTTCGAACCATTTATTAAAGTGTCGTGTCGTGATAGAAAATTTATTTCGCTCATTGATACTGGTGCGTCATTTTCGGTCGTTTCGGATCGTGCCGCGTATGAACTCCGTCACGATATTGTGCCATGTGATATGTCACTTCGGGCAGTGAATAATGTGAATCTCGAAGTAATCGGTAAAGTCAATTTGAAGATTATTATTGAACATGTCTTGTTCATTCATGATTTTTATGTTGTTAAGAATATTGATCGAGACATTATAATAGGACAAGATTTTCTATTCTCTCATAATGTTGTCATAGATTTTAGAAGGCATCAGTTATATGTCAAACACATTGTATGTCAATTTTTGACAAAGTCTGAATTGATAAAACATAATAATGTTGTCGATGTCTCTAATAATTATTTATATTCTTATAAAAAAAATGATAAATATTTGCATGAGTCACGTGTAGTGAATGTAAATAAAGAAAATCCTAATATCAATATTTCTCTTAAGTCAAAGGAGAATAATAATAATAAAAATTTAGTTATAAAAGAGAAGTCTTCTTTAAAGAGAGAAAATACAAATAATAAGAATTTTGTTCATAGAAAACTTCATGAACAACATAAGATCTTTAGAAAAACGTTAATTTTCTATAATAGCAATTTAGATCGAAATGTGAAATCATCACATGATACTAGAAATAGAAATGTCAATTTTAATTTGATGAGTAATAGACAAAATATTTTTAATTCGTATTCTTTTCAGAAAAGTTTTCATAATAGAAAAGATAGGATACATTTGTTAAATTGTCGTAAGGAAAGGACTGACCTCATCAAGGTTAGGTTGAGTAGGTTGAATGTAGACAAATATAAAGATAGATTTCCTTATCAGATAATACGACCAATTGATAATAATAATGTTATAATAAGAAGGTTAGGAAGTTATAGAATAAAGGTAGTCCATGCTAATAGAATTAAACCTTTTAGAATTCGAGGAAGTAGGTATTAGGTTAATGTATTTTCATTATTATAATAATAATTCTTATTTGTTATTATAAGTTAGGAGATAGATATTTAAAGTAATATGAATTTTTAAGTTTTCTTAGTCATATAATGATAATGTTGAAGTTGTAATTTTAATTTATTTTCTTTTATTCAGGAACTATGACAGGTTCGATTCCTTGTTCAAGTTTAGTTGATAGTGAGCTAATTTCGAATAATAATATTAATTCAATGTGTGTTTAACATATATTGTCATATGAAATACTCGTGTATTATTATTAATTATTTATTGTAAAATTTCCAAGGATGTTAATACTGTTTAATTGTTTCATGTTCATACTTCATCTGCCGGATCCCCGTAAGAGCATGATGAAGCTGGCGCGTATCCTGACGTCAGCAATACGGAGGGCCTACTATGAAGCATCTCTGTTGATAAGTCGACAGACACCCACTTCGTGTGCGCGTCGTCATTATTATTGTATCGCGCGTAGTGTTTATACATGGGCATTGCGAAGGTCGGGGAACCCATCTGGTTCCATAGGAATTGGGTTTCGTCTTGTTTGATGCTGGACGTCCTTAGGCTCCATATGTCAGTTTGTAGTCTCATGGGTGTCAATGATTTATCATGGATGCTTATAAGATATACACATTGTCATTGGCCATATCCGTTTGTTATTATTGTGGGTTTGATATTAACTGTAATTGATTCGATTTTGCTTGATTTTAACTACGGGAATCAGGAATATCATATGATAGCTGTATTTAAAATAAAGTTTGTCGTGTTTGGGTTTTGACGTCATCCAATATCAAACTTAGGGTTTTGATGATTGTAGTCATTTGGGAGACGTACAGGTGCTTTTATTGAGGTTTTGCACTTGTAGAGTTTCTGCAATGTGAAGAATTCCTTAAGAAGTCTGAACAATAAAGTAGTAAATTGGAATTTCATTGCAGGAGCTGGTTTATTAGTAAAAACCGCCTCCTCTAAGTTCCTCAAGCAGGTAGGACTTAGGGTTTAGACTTCTGTAAAAATTATTCGAGCGTCTTCACACGCTCTAATAATTTTTTTTAGGGAGCCCGGGCATGTAACGTCCGAGCACATTACTATAGGTAGGGTTTACTCTTCGGACGGTTTATGGTCAAGTGCTGGCCGTTAATATTTTAAATTATTACTTTTTCATATTCGAATTCGCGTGTTCGTATTTTGCTGGTGAATAGTTTTTCTTTCTGATCTAGACCAGCTTAGGGTGAGCATCGTAGTATAATTATTGTAAGTGCTTAAATGTAATTCTTATCAGAAATAAATCAAGACTAAGGAGTGCTACCAGTTTTTTCATTGCGCCACCCACCTCCACCATTAGACTAAGTTGCCATAAGTCGCCACAGTACTTACCATATTTGAGGTTGTTTCTCTATGTTCAGTGCTCTTATTTAAAAAAGAATCCATTAAATGGAACCATGACAGCTTAGATTGGTACACATCAGCACTTCCAGAACCAGCGCCCATTGATTCACGAACCTTTTTCTTTTCTCCTATGTATTGCGTCCTCCAAATTTTAATTTTATTTGTTATCTCCTTCGACCCAAAACCTTCTACCCCGAACTCCTGTACAAATGCTGCTAATGCAGCACAACGTGCATCACGATTTTTATTATTTTTATTTTAAATAGGGTAGACCGGAGGCAATAGTAACATTTTTTATTCACGACCTAATCACGGACAAATGGTAAGTTACCTCAAAAATATTTTCATACACATCGATAGAACATGCATCGGGTTACAAGTTTATCTTACACTTGTCTACATATATTTTAATATTTTTGAGTTACTCAAGGTTAAACTAGAAAGGGGAAAGTGTTACAAATGCCCCCTACCCCGGGGCAATTGTAACATGATTTTAATATAATAAAAGTCAATAATTTAATTTATAATTAGAAATTATTTTCTTATCACAAGATTCCGTACATCAGTCTTGTATGTCTCATGAAAATGTTTTATAAAATTAATGACAATCAAAGATACAGTAACATGAAAGAGCAACCTCTGCTAAAATTTTAAATAATACTTATTTCAAGACAGTTCTTTGGCGGTCATAAATTTAACTAATAACTATATACTTATGCTAAAAACTATGACATTAAATGCAAGATTAAGTTATTAAAATCACGTTTACATTTTGTATGAAACAGTATCTGTTACAATTGACCCCGCGTAACTATTGCCCCCGAGATAAATTTTGCAATGTACTAACAAATATTTAAGTCTATTTCTGCCCTTCTTTACTTTGAGGACATAAGAATAGACGATCAGCAGCAAATTTTATTACAGTCAGAATTTCTGCGTTTAATTAGTTTACTTTAAGTCGCGATATCACACGAGGTGCGCTAATTATCTAAACAGGAATTTGATCATATTAACACAGCCTAACTTGTATAAAATTATTATCTATAGGGTCAAAAACGACTTAAGTTTTGGAAGTTCGTGGCCAATGTAATTTTGTGTAGGTATCTAGTCAGAATCATCAGATTCGCAGTTATGACAGGTGTAACTGATGCCTTCCTGTGGAGTACAGGCTTCGTGAGCCCAAAGCTGACATTTGTTGCATTTAATCCAGCACTCGTTACTTCTGCTATGAGAATAAGGCTCCACACAGACTAGGCAAAACCATTCTTCATTTTCATCTTCTCCGCTTTCGTTGTCTTTTTGCTTTCGCTTTTTCGTTAGTGTCGTTTTTCTGATTTTCAATGATTTTTTTACATCTTTCGCTCTCTTCTTGCGCTCTTTTTCTTCGTGCTCTATTCGAACAGCCTCTTTCTCTGGAGTGTCAGTATATATAGCACTTTTTCCTTTTTTCCTACCACTGCTTTTGTTTTTACGTGGTGGTGCTTTGGGAAGTGGTCTTACTATTTCAGGAGAAAAATATTTACCACTTGAAGTTGAAGGCAAAGAATCAATGAAAGAAGAAGTTGGCATTAAAGGAGTTCTGATTCCAGATTTAGACAAGGTGATATTTGCGTCCTGATTCGTAGATATATCTGAAAGTAAATTTCTTGGAGTCACGGTCAGAGGATCATTGCAGGATGACGCAGGCCTAATAGGAGTGGGAGTTCTTACTTCAGTCAAGTCAAAAGGTTCAGTAACTACCACTTCCGTTATAGGACTAGGCACATTACTTGAAAATGGAGAGATCTTCCTCAGATTTTGTGTGATAGGTAAGCTCTGACACTCGCGCCTTGAGAGTACATCATTGAAACATTCTTCATTTGAGTCAGTGTCATGAATATTAATTGAGTCGGGCTGCAAATGTTCAGCTTCAGTTTGACGTTCAACCGGATTTGTTGAAGATGGGTCTGGTCGGTCTGTGACAAAGGAAGGACTATAGTCCAACTCGTCAAATATGTCCCTATTGTATGGAACTATTCCAGTCACTCTGAATCCCCCTTGAATATTTCTTGGCGTCAACGCTATCGGGTAAGCTGTTTTGACTATAGATGGTATATCGTGTATTGTCATTGGCCTGCCAGGGTGATTGCGCATCCAAGCAGTACATGCACTGTTCACGGCTTTCTTCAAAGATCCATTAACTGACCGATCAACTGGCTGCAACTTGTGGGTGCAGTGCGGGGGAAATGACAACATAATTATACCATTGGCCTTGCAGTAGTCCAAGGCTTCTATCGTTATATGGGATGGATGGTTATCTAAGGTCAATAAGACTTTATGTTCCAGAGATGCTTTGGAATGAACTTTGAAGTGATTAAGAAATATAAGGAATTCCTTCCCTTCCATCCAACCGGATTTATTTCCTGCGCCAATACATCCAATTGGGCCATCCCGTACAAAGTGAGGCTGATAATTTACCCTTGGAAACACGAACATCACTGGAATAGCGTTACCAATAGCGTTTACTGCAACTGTAATAGTTACTAATGTACCACGTTCTCCCGATGTAAGCGCTCCCACTTGTCTCATGCCTCTTTTAGTGACAATTCTATCAGGCTTATGCACTGTTGTAATACCGGTCTCATCCATGTTATAGATGTCTTGGGGTTCTAATTTTTCACGGTCCAATACAATGGCTAGATTGTCAAAAAATGGTTCAACATTATTTTTATTAAAACTGGTAGCTCGTGATAAGCTCGTAGCTTGAGCGCACCTAATTGATAGCTCCGGATGCCTTTTCATAAAACCAGTAAACCAGTCTTCGCTTGCAGTTTCATTCTCATCCCATGATTCTGGCCTAGGAATTTGGTAATGTTTGGCTAAATCATAAGCTAATCTTCTCACTGCCTTTGGAGAGAGCCCGAAGTAAATGTCCGCTGTTCTTATCAAATATTGACTGATTAACTTTTCTTGATCTTCGGAAAAAATTTTGCTGGCCGGATTATAGCCCATGCGTACTTCGTGACCATGCGGGGCACAATCTTTTTTCTTTTTGTACCGCATTAGAGAAACGTGGCACAAGTCGAACATTTTTGCCGCAGCCCGGATTAAACGTCCTTCACATATCTCTTTGTACGCTTGCTCGTAGAGTAACAGATCTTTTGTACCTCTTTCGGTTTTCCTTGGTCTATTTCTAGGCATCTGTAAAAAATGATGTTCAATTTTTTAAACAATATTCTACCTACACCAAAATTAATACGCAACACCCACTAAAGCCTTTTAGGTATAAGTCATCATCATATCTGCTGAATGTTGTCTACTGGTGCTTCCCAAATCCTACAAATATTATAAATGCGAAAGTTTGTATGTCTGTTTGTTTGTTACGGAATAACAGGCCAAATTCTAAGCTGATTGAGCTGAAATTTGTTACAAGTATAGCTTAGAAGCAGGAAATTAACATAGGCTACTTTTTGTCCCACGGGAACCCCAATGTGTTTATCCCAAAAGCCAAATTATGAACCGATTATGCTGAAAATTAGTACATGTATAGTTTATAAGCAGGAGAAGAATAAACAATATTTTTATCTCACGGGATCCCAAAAATCTTTACTACGCGGGCGAAGCCACGGGGAAACAGCTAGTTAGTAATATAATAGTTTAATAGTATAAACTTCGGGATCCAGAAAGGCGCATTTACAGGCAATAGCTAGTTTTTTCATATGGGTCAATTGTAACACGGGGTCAATTGAACCGTTACAACTGCCCCCAATAATTTTGTTACAATTGCACCTTTGTAAGTCTCATAAAAAAGTCGTCACCACAGCTATAAATACTAGGATACATTCAGATATATTATGGCTAACATCATCTTTGATCTAAAGTTTACTAAACCCAAAAGCTTTAAAACACAAATCTAGCCCAAAAGTTAATAATTTCACACATTGAAAATGTAGTAAAAACTTACCTTGAGCGTCCGAAAAACAAAATGGCGTAGAGCGAGTGACCGATGCGCAAGCTGACGCTCGCCCGACTGCCACAGGTTGAACACGTCTCGACGTGTTCCCCCACGCACACAGGTGCAAATACAGCCACTGATGTAGTAGTTATACGCACTGTTACTATTGCCCCCTGTTACTTTTGCCTCCGGTCTACCCTACTTTATTAGATTTAACCTTTTTATTAGTTTCTTATTCAATGAACACTACCTATTTAAATAAAGTTACCTGGCCGAAATGCAAAATTCATACTATTTTTAATCTTTATAGTATCAATATTCTATGATAAAATATATAAAATAAAACAAATTAAATAATGAGGCCTAAAACTATACACCACATCAATCATTTGTCGTTTGTATAAACCCTTATTATGGCCAATATAGTAAGTGTTACGGGCGGCTATGGTCGCCCACTTATAAAACCTATGGAAAGTGATAAAAAACCTAAAATACTCACTGGATTCGTAATATTTTATTTTATTATTTATTTTTAAATACTATTCATGAACTATGTTTCTTATATTACCAAGCATATTTTTTTTATTTTGTACACAATATTACTAAAAACTTAAACATAAACAAAACTCAAGGTATTCAAGTTGATTTATCATCATATTGTATATTATTTATAGTCGATAAATACATATTATTAAAGAATTTCAGTTTGAGGAGTAATTGAATATATAATACTAAAAACATGATGAATAAATAAATAATACTTACACATTGAAGAAAGAGCTCACAACCGCTTCAGAAACACTTGACATTGGCATTAAAAAAAATCCCCGGCTGATGTTTGTGTTGCTTTACCAATTAATTATTCCGCAAGCACATTTTTTATTAGCCTAATAATTAACAAAATTGGTTCCATTTTGAGGAAAAATTTTTCTATAGACACCATTTTTACTCCTTTATCAAAAATGTCACACCAATTGCGATCACCAAAGGATAGTATTCCTTACCAAAAACCTGGCGTTTATAAAATTGACTGCAGCTGCGGTAGTTCATATATCGGACAAACGAAGCGGACTATCGCCGAACGTGTAAGAGAACACATAGCAGCGGTCAAAAATCGTCAAGTGGAGAAGTCCGCGATTGCAGAGCACTTATTATCATCTGGATCAAACCACTGGATCGAGTTACATACACCTCATGTCCTTTCCACTGAACGACATTACTATCCAAGGATTGTTCGTGAAGCGGTTGAAATAAAAAAACACAACAATTTCAACCGGGAAAGTGGATATAAACTCTCACCAACGTGGAATCCGGTTATAAAAATGTATAAGTGTCGCGATCGCAAACAACCACGAACAATATTCTCAGATACCGTAAGTGCAGTGTGTCGCCACCTTTACGTATAATAAAATCAAGTGGAGGGTACATCTGAAAATCAGTTAAAAACATTATTACCGGATTACCCTCAACTAAAATCAGAAGACGACACCCGCCAGTTCTCCAGTCTCCTCGTGACCACGGCTGCTATAACGTAGCCGAAACGTCGAGGTAAATTAATTGTTTTAAAAAATGCACGAACAAGACCCGATTGCATATAATTATAATGTATACAAATCGTGTGAGTTTAAAAATATTATAAATTTTGGTTTATATATAAAATTACTGAAAGGCACCGATAACCTAACGTGAATATAATTTGGAATAGGGTATTCCAAATTATATGCACTTTATGCGTAAATATAATTTTAACTTAAATTACAATCAGTTTAAGTGTAATACTCATTTTTAGACCATTTGTCTTTTCTTGAACTATTAAACTTTTACAAGATCAATAAAACTTAAATTTATTTTCTTTTCTAAATTATAAAATCTCTTTTAAATAATCATCTTTTAACATAACTAATATCTTAATCTAGATAAGTCATACATAAACTCTAAAAATTATAATAGATATATGAACTTATCTATTCTTTCCAAAAATCACACACAGCAACCGGAGTCATGGCCAGCGCATTCGCTTTGCGCCCATCCTTCACACATGAAACATTGGACTCATTCCTCTCCTCTTCGATCATCTGCATACGTTCGATTGCAAAAGAAACACTCGCAATTATCATCTGCTAATTGTTATACCCTGTCATCCTTGGGTAATTCTTCTTCCGACTCGTCTGATATGAATGTAGCATTACTATCAGAATCCGTATTCTCTTCTTGTAATATCTTTCTTTTAATGACAGTCCTACCTATACGTTTCTTTTTTTCATCAATTTCCTTATTTAGTTCTCTTTCTCTTCATTTACTTATTTTCCCCTTACCCTTACTTTTTCCTTTTCCTTGGTTTTTAATGTTGCCCTGATCTTCATTTCTAGCTAGTATCTTCAACTTTTCAGTTGTTATTTTTTCTGTTTCTTCCAGTTCAGTTTTGTAAGGTGAACTTGAAATAATTTCAGATTTTCCCGATTTACGACCCCTATTAGATGTACGTTTTCTAGCTGTAGGAACTGGTGAAATGTCAAACGGTGTGGTAACGGATCCAATATGAGAAAGACCTGTATGATTTTCTTGTTCTTCTAGCATAGAATGAACATTAGGTACATGCGAATCCTAAAATTTTTCGTAAAATAGGGATTTCAATTCTGTCCTGTTCACAATTTGCGCTGAGACGACGTGGTTGTTATTGGTGTAGATTTATCTAGTTGTCCACTGATGTTTAATTGAACATGTTCCACATTCTGAGCTGCTGCGAGACAGTCTGACTCCGTGAAGACGTATCTATTAAATGGCGATAAGGGCTCTGCCTGTGTGGATCCTCCCAACACGATGGGTAGGGCACCACAGATTGCACAGAAGCTGGCCGGTTCGCGCACTGGTCAGCATTGCTCGCTCCTGCCTCGTCGTGGGGGTGCGTCTCGAATGTCTATGAGGCGTACCCCCAACCCGAGTGAGACCTGCCCGTTTCAGGGCGGACCGAAATGGGGGCGAACCGCGCAGTGTATGGCCTCCGGGCTGATCCCGCGCATCGCCTTCCGTGCGAGGGACATCGCTGAGTTTTAGTGGGTAAACTTCTGTTTCTTGTCTAGCCCCTCCGGGGGTGGGGCCGCAGGAGGAGTCCCACATCACCCGTGGAGCCCGCGCAGGGTAAAGCGGGTATGCGTAACGCATTTCTCAGCGTCAAAAAAAAAAGGGTGTACCCCGAATAACAAGTAGTCAGTCCTCCACCTCACAAATACTCATTACAATTCACTTAAATCAGTTACTTATTTATTTATAACCAAACTGTCAAAATAAAATAGGATATACAATATAATATAGTATTTTCATAGTGTAATGACGTATGGTCTATATCTATGGATTCTGCGGCTGGCATTCAAGATATTTTTATTCTACAAAAGAGAGCTGTCCGCGCTATATATAATTTACGGTCTTGAGAATCTCTCAGAGAAATATTTAAAGAAATAATTATTTTTACTGTTGCCTCTCAATACACCTTTGAAAATATTATATACGCAAGAAAACATAACGATTCCTTCACAAAAAAAGTAGTGTTCATAATTTTAACCTTTAACTAGGGACGTGACAAATTGATAACACTATCAGGGACGTGTAGTCACAGGCTACAACTTAAAAAAAAACAAAATTTTGTTACAAAATTTCATTTGAATGATTTAGAATACGTTCATATTTATTAGTTGGTATTAAACAAACATAAATGAATTTAATCAGTTTTTTATAATTACTATAGGAAAAAACCGAATTCACAACTATTTGTACTTTACAGCCTTAATTGACATGAGATCTTCATTTTAGCATTTTAATAGACCTTACATATTTAATATAACAAATTAAACTCTTTTTAATTAAAATATAACTAATATAAAAACAAAAGTTACTTCCGGAAACAAAACAAAAATTCTGACACGTGCACTATTTGGCATAAATTATTGGCAATTTTTACACAAGGGGCGAGAACGTTGCAAACATATAGGATTATTAGCCGATGATTATTTTTAGATTCCATCATCTGCAGAAGAGTGGTTGAACATTGAAAATGGATTCAGCTCCAAATTTCCAAGGGCTGTTGGTGCCATAGATGGAAAACATATAGTTTTAATATGTCCTGCCAATTCAGGTTCAGAATACTTCAACTACAAAAAAACTTTTAGTATTGTGCTTATGGCATTAGTAAACAGTAAATATGAATTTATTTTTGCTGATATCGGAGGGCAAGGAAGAATAAGTGACGGTGGAATTTTTAGAAATACTGTGTTATGGGAGAAGATTTGTAACAACTCTCTTAATTTACCATCACCTCATCCACTGCCAAATTCAAATGTTGCTGTACCATACGTATTTTTAGGTGATGGCGCTTTTGCACTTGGTATGAACATCATGAAACCTTATCCTGGAAACCATGACAGAGACAGCCCTGAACGCATATTCAATAAAAAATTGTCAAGTGCACGTGTGATTGTGGAGAGTACATTTGGAATATTATCAGCAAAGTTTCGAATATTCAAATCGCCAATCGAGCTGTCTCCTGAAAAAGCTTCAAATGTTACAATGTTTTGTATACTACTGCATAATTATTTAAAAAAAAGTAATATGTCAACACGGATATATTGTCCACCAGGCACTATTGATGTTTATGATAGAAATGGCAATATGATTCATCGTGGTTCGTGGCGATCAGAAATAACAAGCACGAATGCTATTCAGAACTTGCTATTCAAATAGCACGCAGATCAGCTACTAATGCTAGACAAGTACGAGAAGAGTTCAAAAAATATTTTTTCAGTCTACGTCCATAAAGTCGGTATTTAAATTTAAACTAAATAAATCATACTTACATTCAACTTTGTGTTTATTGTTTTCTTCGGAGTTAGTCCTTGGTTAAGAAAAGAATCTATAGCATCATATCCAAACCATATAGGTTTGTATATTTCGTTTTCGCCAGCACCCGATTTGGAGGAGTCATTCACCATTTTTCTATATTTCCTGTAATTCGCAAACAGAGAATCTTTTTTCTTTTTTAGTTCAGGTACTTCTATTTTCATTAACTCTGCGAGTCGGTTCCAGGCATCGTGATTTAAACTTTTGTCCTTATAATGCCGGTGTTTTGCATCCCACAAAATGGGCTCGGATTGAAAATATTCAATGAATTTTAGTTCCAGTTCGTTATTCCACATTTTGGTTGCCACGTCCTATCCCCGCTACTTATTACTAGGCAATGAGACAAAACGAGCATGTAGTACTGTTCTCTTTTCACGCCCGAGAAACCCTTTGTCTCGGGCAATTTTACCGACAATGAACGGAGAACACGCGAGCGCGAGAACGAGAAGGCGAGATGCTTCTTACATTCACGCTTCTCGGGTGTTCTCGGGGCTTCTCGGCGTGAGTCTGGAGGCCACTTAAGAATTTGCAAAACACGCGACGCCTGTCAGGCTACACGTCACTAGTTAAAGGTTAACACAAGAAATAAAAATAAACTTGCCGTTCCAAGCTTCAGACTTCAGAAAACCAGAGGATCATTTCTGGGTAAATGCATTGCTATGTTCAATAAAGTTCCACAAAATGTAGTTGACCTACCCATAAATAAATTTAAAATTCATGTAACGAACATACTTATGAGCTATTATAATTATGATAATTATTTTAAGGATCGCAATGCATGGAATGAATAGTCTTCGCTTTGTTCTATAAAGACTAATTATATGTTCAACCTATATCCTACAGACTTTGAAAGTTGTATTTATTATTGTGATAATACATATTATTTTGGTAATGACATGATTTATGTAAATGTCATTATTTAAGATAAACAGCTGGTCAGTTTCTTTCGCTCGTTCTTCTTATCAGCTAATAGACGTCCTGAACAAGTGGTAGGGGAAAAAAATTTTTTGGATGATTCAAATGTGCTTGTATCCTACTTGAAAAAAGATATTTTCATTTCATTTAACGGGGATTTATTCTCTTCTCGGGTTCAGCTTTGGCCTCCTTCAGCTCATCTGAATTAAAAAAAATGCGGTGGCTGCTAACATATAATTCTTGGAGGCAAAAACGACTCTGATCTTGCCCTTAGAGAGGTTACTGACACTAGAAGGCTGGTTGGGACAGACTTCTCTGGTCAAGACCCTTCTTATCAGCCTGATAGCCTGTTGTGGTGCCGCTTCTGGGTCCTTGAATGACAGAATTACTGCTGATTCTGTTGATGGGCTGGCTGCCGATCGTGGTTTAATCCCGTCACGAGTCAGGTGTCCAATGGTAGTTGACAGGGAAGAAGTGAGAAGCGTAGCAAGCGCTCGCGTATAATGGTGTAGCTCTCTGCAATTAGCGCTTCACAAGTATAATTAGCCAAAAATTCTGTTTCATAAAGTCCGGTTTTAGTTTTATTTCCTATCAAAACTGTTATATTGAAAAACTTTATAAATACCTTATCTCCAGAGAAATGTACCGTGCCTCCATTATCGGTTATTATAGCGTTTACTGATATAGATATTTTATTTCACGGAGTCCGTTTGGCTCTGGTTGTAGTAGTGACGTGTAGTGATAGGCGCGCTAGTGTGTGTAAACGTAGGTAGCGTTAGGAAAGAAATCTGACACGCATTATATATTTATTTAATAAATTATATAGACAATTTAAGTAAATAATATTTAGCTATTAGAATGATAAGTTGCAGAGAAAAGAAACAACAGTTGAAAGTAAATAATATTTTTATTTATTACAGAGAAGAAACAAAAAACGCTTTCGTCAGAATCGTTCCCTAAGATAATTATGAACTCAAAATCCAGGTCGACGTATTTTAAGTATTCTTTTTCAATTTTTTCAACATGAGCACAGGTTTTTTGCCATGTTTCACTGGTTACTCTATCCAAGCTTTCAAAGATCAGTCTTTCCATGTTCGTCATGTTTTGTTCGATATTCTTTGATGCGATATAAGTTTTTACAATACCCCAAATATTTTCAATAGCATTTAATTCTGGGTGATAGGGGGGAAGACGTATGACATCAAAACCCTTGCTCTTAATAAAATCATCAATTTTATACGTTATGTGTTCATCTTTGTGTTTTTTTATAATATCGTACAATTCCAATTTAAGGAGAGATTGCTCAAATGCTCAAATGATTCTTTGTAGCCGACGTCGGTAGTTTTTCAGTCCGTGTGTTGTGATATGAAGCATTGTCTAAGACAATGACAGAGCGTGGGGATAAATTGGGTAAAAGTTTTTCGTTTAGCCATTTAACATAATTATCGTAGCTCATATTAGAATGGTAATCGCCAGCTGTTGAGTTGGCTTTATAAATCAATGAAGCATTTTCAATAAATCCATCCTTTGTACCCGTATGCACTAATATAAAGCGAGTGCCTGTGCTAATTTTTTTTAAGAATGGTGTACTCTTTCTTTTGTGCCCAGGTGTTGTTTCGCACGTGTGTTGAAAGGACATAATTTTCATCGGTGTATACAATTGGGCGACCTTGACTGCGATATTCTGACATCTTCTTCAAAAATTTTAAACGCCACATTTGTATATCATGACGCTCCGTCAAAACTTTACGGTTATTCTCTGTTTTACGCCACTTGTAACCTAACTTCAGTAACAATTGACGAACAGTTTCGATACAACCATCAAAACAATTTTTTTCATTTAATACAGTTTTTAACTTAGCCAACGTTGGAATTTCTTTATGGATGACATGGAAATTTTGTATAGTACTGCGAACAACATCGGCTGTAAAATTATCTATTTCTATCTTACTATCCCGCTTTCTTCTTTTCTTCATAGGAGAAGTGAAATTTGATGAGCAGGATGGCAATTCCTTCTCTTCTTTTAATATCCGTTGAACAGTTTTCATAGAAACACCTGTAGCCTCAGCTGTACGCCTTGTAATATCTCGTAAATGAGACAAATCACAGTTAGGTTCCGCAACTGATTTTGTGAATTCATACTCTTATCGCAGGAAATGATAAACGCTAGCTATCATGCTTCGACCCTAGAACAAAACCAAATTGAAATACCTATTTAAGTAACAAAGAACAATGGCGAACTCCCATATAGCTTTGGACCTGAATTTTTAAAGTCCCGTTCATGAATGAAATAAACGTGTACTTGAAGGTATAAACTAAAGTAACAAAATCCTAATCGTCTTTTTCCTTTAAAAGTTGGGGTTAAAAAGATATGGCATAAAATACTTTGTGGGGTTATACAATATATTGCATCTTTGCTTTTTCGTTGAATGGCCGTTAAAAAAAAATAAAAATGGTAACCAGATTACTCCGTTTAATAAACTAGATTAAGATAGTTACATATCTAACAAGATCCAGACACTTATAATAGAAGAAACATTTATAACATATGACTAGACTGTGTGGACTAGATCCCTTTGCCTTTAATTAAATCATTACAACTAAAAGTGACAAATAAGGGCAATGTACACATTGAACTGTCATTGATATAACCGAATCGATTGCCATTCGGAATCCAAAAGTAATGCAAATATCAACGTTAGTCAAAGAAACATGCTTAATTGTCAAGTTGAATATTAACATAAATATCAAACTCCATGAACGAACACACAACAAACAAACCAAACTAATCATCCGCTATTATTCCACCATCATCATCATAGAACATTCATGGATGAATTAAACAAGCATGTCAAAATAAAATCAACCAATCGATTATTTAGAACAAAATAATCGATACGTTAACCTTTCATCGGATCAACTGCAGAACTGACAATAATCTTCTTAAATCGGTTGTGGTATCTTAGCTTTCAATTTTTTTATTTCTCAAGTATTCAATTCGTAATTTGAACGAATAAAATAAATATTTATGAAAGTATTCAAATATCGTATTTCATATAATATATTATATATAGATTTTATATTGAGTATATATTTGACGTTCATTCGCTCAGTCGGTACGCGTACGCATCATTAAATCACATATTTCACTTATTATTAGCATTTAATGACGACGGATAATAAAATATGTTTAAAATAACTCGCGATTAATTGAGAATCGCTTCTGACATCGTTTAATTTAAGAGAACGGAATCTATTCTATACAATCTTATTTTGAATTTATATTCGATTATTAAGCGTATTAATGGTACTTTAAAGGCAATAGAATTAATTGTAATGTACAGGAAACGATAATATCCATTAAAATAGATGACCCTTTTATTATTAGATATAGTTTTATTATTAAAGTACTTCTGCGTAGACCAGAACGTTTCTTAAGAAGATTTTCGCGTTTTGTTTTTGCCCTATCATCAGACGTTTTGTTATCTTGATAATTAATAGCAGCATTTAATATTTTAGTTTGGTTCCCCGACTTTAAAATTCACCACTTTGTAGAAATAAAATCTATTAATCATATATTATTTATTTGTCATATTGCCATCCATGTACGGTTTAGTAAATTATGGGGTCTGATTTCGCCATTCTTCTTTCATAATATTAGATAGATAAACTCTTAATAGCACACAAAAAGTAGTAACAATAGTTAAAAAAAAATGTTACCTCACTGTGGACAACTTTTCTGCGTTTACTTGCCATGCTGACGTTACTCTTTTTTTAGCGCGGAAACAAAACACTAGTGACTCTGACCGCGTCGCGATCGTGACTGAGCGCTCCCGAGGTTACGCACACTAAAACAGTGTGCACGTACAGACCTTACAACATTCATAGTCAAACGGACTTCGTGAAATAGAATATCTGTATTAGGTTTCTTGAGATTCCCGGCACAAATAGTACGTCTTTAAGCTCTCCGAAATCCGTCTCAATCATCCCAGTCCCTTGCATTATCAAATTCTCTGCATTGGAACAGCTAATTTGTACGTCTATCTTCTCTGTTATTTGTTACTCTGTAATTACATTTTTATTACTAAAAAAATGTGATGTGGCACCAGAATCAATAACTGCCTTGACTCGAGTTTGAAATTTATTACTTACCCCGTTACTTTGATCACTTTTTCAA